GTGAGCGTGGAAAGGCGCGGTTCCTTCTCCCTTCCTCGGGGAAGCCCCGTCGGAGGGAAGCGGGAGGGAGGGCGGCTCCCGTGGCCGGTCCTGGCTGCCCCCCCCCCCCCCGCCCCGCCCCCCCCCCCCGCGCCCCCCCCCCCCCCCGGCATAGGTCTCGAAGGGGTCCTCAAAGGCCATCCATCCCACTCTCGGCTGCCCCGTCCCCTCGCAGACCCCGCTCAGGAGCTTCTCCCTTTTCCCCCGTGGGGGGGGTGGGGTGTCCGTCCTGCAGGCCCCACTTTAACACCCTCCCCCTCCCGTAGCCTACCACCAGGAATGCCACCTGCCCCGCGTGCTCAGCGACGCCGCCTGGACCTGCCGGCAATGTGTCTTTGCCGTGGCCACCAAGGTGAGAGGGGGGGAGTCAGCTGGGCCCTCTCGTGCCCCCCCCCCAAGCAACGGCCCTCCTTGGCCCTGCTGACTAGCCGGCCTTGGGGTCTCTGTCCTCCCTGGCCCCACACGCTCCTGCCCGCTCTTGGGGAGGGGGCTCAACCTCAGTTCTCTCTGCCCCCCCCCCGAGCCCGGCCTCCCCCCAGGCGCCTCCCGCTTCCCTCTCTCGCCCTGCAGCGTGGGGGGGCCCTGAAGAAGGGGCCCTACGCCAAGGCCATGCTGGGCATGAAGCTGGTGCTGCCCTACCAGCTGAAGTCTCTCGACTGGGACGCCGAGCACCTGACCAACCGGCAGCAGTGCTACTGCTACTGCGGAGGCCCCGGCGAGTGAGTGCGTGCCCGGCCTGGGGGTGGGGGGGCAACGGGGGCAGGATGGCAGCCCTACATGAAAGGGGGGAGGAGACGGCCTGGTCCATCCAGGAAGGCTCACCGGGAGTGAGACGGGGGAGGGGGAGCTCAGGTGGGGGGTGCCCTGAGCTGGAGTGGGGGGGGTGGTGGTCTACTCTCAAAGCTTTCGGGGGGGGGGTGTTGAGGCCCCCATTCCGTAGTCTGATCCTCTTTCCCTCCCGCTGGCTCAGGTGGAACCTCAAAATGCTGCAGTGTTGCCGCTGTGGGCAGTGGTTCCACGAGGCCTGCACGCAGTGTCTCAGCAAGCCCCTCCTCTACGGGGACAGGTGAGCCCCCCACCCAGGAGATGTGAGGGAGAGGAATGGGGGAGGGGGCTGACCAGGCACCGCTAACCTCTTGAACCCTGGGCAGGTTCTACGTCTTTGAATGCTGCGTCTGCACTCTGGGCCCCGAGAGCGTCCGGCGCCTGGCCCTGCGCTGGTGAGTCTGGCTGGGGCCGCTGGCGGGGAGGGTTGAGCGTTTCTGGGCTTGTCCAGGGATGTTTGGGCGGCCCTGGGGCTTCAGGGTTTGCGTTTGTGTAGATGCCGCTCCCAGCTGAGCCTTTAGTTGCCTGCGGCCAAATACCACCTCCGCAGGGCCCGCTTTCTCAGGGTCCAGAGCCCCAGGCTCGGATGGCAGCTGTCTTCCTCCCCGGCCAGCAGAGGGCGCTTCCCTCCGTCAAGCTCACAAGGGCCGGGGTGGGGGCTGCTTGTTCTGGCTTTGGGGCCTGACGTGGGTGGCCAATTGGCGGGTGCCGTGTGTGAAGGGAGCCCGAGCAACCTCAGTGGGAAACCCTGGGGTCGTGGGAGAGAAATTGAGGCCGAGCACTGACCCAGGTTTTAAATCTGGCCGAGAGGGGGGTGTCACAGGGCAAAGGTTGGCCCCACCAGAAGCCCTTGCCAGGTGTGGGCATGGCCTGGCCCCGGCCATGGGCGGGTGGGCGTCTTCCTACTCCAGCATTGGTGCCTCTTAGGGTGGACGTGGCCCACCTCATCCTGTATCACCTGAGCATTTGCTGCAAGAAGAAATATTTCGACTTTGAGCGAGAAATCCTGCCTTTCGCCAGCGAGAACTGGGACAGCCTCCTGCTGGGAGAGGTCAGAGCAGGGCCCGGCTGGGTGTGTGTGTGTGATGGGCGGAGGGGGGCACAAGGGGGGGGATTCGCTCCGCTTCCTGCCTACTTTGTGTCGTGGTGGGGTGGACACATAGCCGGTGCCTCTTTTGAAGAACCCGGGGCGGCCCCTTCCCGTCTGCTGGTGGGCCTTCTATGAGGGGCTGGATGGGGGGCGCTTGGGCCCCCCAAGAAGCCGATTGATCCTGCTAGGTACCCCTGCCACAAGTGAGGTCCCAGGCTCTGGCCCTTTGCCTCCAAACCCCAGTGGGAATCTGCATGCAGGGCTGGAGGCGGCTACCAACAGGCTGGGGGGTGGGCAATCGGGGCATAGGCACAGCTGCTTCGAGCCCCCCCCCCCCTTCAATCCCCAGTGACCTTTGACCCCAGCGGCCACTGCCTTGGAAGGAGGGACTTCCTATAGATCCACCCAAGGGACCACAGGTGGGTGTGGGAAGAGCGTAGGCTAAAGGTCAAGGATGCCCCCCTTCAGTGGCCGTGCTCTTCCAGCTGGTTCCACAAGGCGTCCGCCCTGGGGAGGCCATTGTCTTCTGGGCCCTTTGGCTAAACCGGACCCTTTTCTTTGGCCTGGCAAGGGGTCCCTGTGGGGAGGGAGAGGCTGTGTTTTACGCAGGCGGCTGTGCAGGGCTGCTGCTCATTGTCCTTGTCCTCCTCGGCCCCCTGCAGCTCTCCGAGACACCCAAAGGGGAACGGTACAACCAGCTGCTGACTGCCCTGACCAGCCACAAGGACAGGTAGGCCTCACTCGGGGCAGTCGGGCGCAAAGAACCGGACCCACAAGGGCAAAATTGAAGTACTGCACTTGGTTGCCCACAGGAATCTCCCCAGACGAGTACAATCGCCTGGGGGAGCCCCAAGGGGAGTCTGGGTCGCAGGAGGGAGCTGTGCTGGTGCCCCCCCCCCCCCATCCCTTCTCTCCTCTGCCCCACAGATTCATCTCCGGGAAGGAAATCAAGAAGCGGAAGGGGCTCTTTGGTCTGCACCTGCGAGTCCCACCCCCGGCCCCCGAGCCACCCCTCCTCTCCGAGAGCAGGTGAGAAGGAGCCCTCTCTGCCCCACTGGCCTCCCCAGCTGTGGGCCTGGGGAGAGAAGGAAGCTGCCCCCCTCCCAGCTCCTTCCCCCTGGCCCCCCCTCCGTGCTGCACAGATAAGGAGGGCCCCTTACAGCTTGCTTTCAGGGCAGGGCAGCCGTGGGTCGGGGCCGCAGCCCAGGAGGGACAGGCGCCATCGCCCGAAGGCCCCGGGGGCAGCCTTGAGCACGGAGCAGCGCAGCACCAGGGAGAGGGAGCGGCTGGCCAGGGCCCTCACTCAGGTAAGTGGGGAGTGGGGTGGCGGTGGGGTCCATGCTGCCCCCACCCCCGAGCGGCCCTTCAATGCTGCTTTTGCGCAGGAGCTGGTGCAGAGCCCGCTCAGTCCTAACCAGAGCTACAGCGGCTACGGCGGCAGCTGCAGCACATACAACTTCCGCCGAACTGATGCCCGCTGCCAGGACAGGTGAGGCTGTGGCCAGGGGGCACAGAGGGCAGGGACGGTTCGCCAGGCCGGCTCCCTCTTGATGCTCTGCTCTCCTCCCCCCCCAGCACTCCAATTCGGATGTTCGCCTCCTTCCATCCCTCGGCCAACACCGCAGGGACCTTGAGGTGAGCAGGGCCACACAGAGGGACGTGTGGGTCCCCACAGCAACCCCCTGGGGCCAAGATGGTGGATCCCAATGGGGAGGGGGGCCTCTGGCCTAGAGGGGCAGCCGGTGTGCCTCCTTCCCCTGGTCCAGCCACGACTGAGGTTCTGCATTGGGTGTTGGGCCTCTGCTGCAGTGGCAGGATGTGGTCTGGCCAGCCCCCCCCCCCCCCCATGGAAATCCTCTGCAGAAGGGATCCCCCCCCAAACGTTCCTCCACACCCTTTCCTGACCCCCCCCCCCCCCCCAATGATTCCTCACAGGCTGGTCCTATCGATAAGGGCTGCAGGCAAGGGGCATCGCGGGGGCAGAGACCTGCCCATTGACAGAAACTCAAGAGGCTGGGCAGGAACCTTAACGGGCCAGGGGTGTGTGGGGGAACCCTTGGAAGCCTCTGGGCCTGCCGTGGGGCCACCCTTGCCCACAAAGCAAGGGTTCCCCCTCTGTGCAGAAAGGGGTTGTGCAGGAGTGGTTTTCCCCCCGGGGTGCAAGCAGCCCTTCTGTGGCGCCAGTGAGCGCAGGGCCCGAGGTCCCCTTGCAGGCTCCCTTTGCGAGGGGCCAGTCCCCACACCTGCTCCCTCTCTGGAGAGGCCCTCAAAGGGTCCCTCGGCTGAGCGGCCAGGAGACCCTCCCCAGGATCAGTGCTTCTGCAGGAGGGTCACCCAGAGTCGGGGGCCATCCCGAAAGAGAAGCCCCGGCACGCTGGCAGTCCCGTACACTGGCTTCTTCCCCCGAGTCCGGTCACAGGACCCGAACCCCACCTGGGCAGGAAGGTCCCCAAAGCAGCCGGGGGGCCCACCGCCACTTGCTCCGGTCCTGGCCATGCCACCACGCAGGGTACTGAAACTGCCACAGGATGTCTGTGGAGCTGGGCTGCCTGTGTTCTGGATGGGACGCACCCAACGGCTGACGGGGCTCCGAGGTACACCCAGGATAGGGATTGGCCAGACCCCTCCCCCCTTCCCCTTCCCGCCGGGGCTGGGAAGCCTCCGCAGAGGGGCCCCGTCTGTCGGGGTGAGGCCACTGGCCCTCTGTGGTAGGAGGGGCCGGCAGTAACCACTCCTCCTTCTCTTGCAGCAGGGGCGGTGAGCCCCCCCTTGACCCTTGCGTGGCAGCTACCCCCGCCGCAGAGCAGCAGAGTCCGGAGCGCCCTGCCCCCGCCTTCTTGCCCTGTCCGATGCCTCCCCTCAAACGCCGAGCCGTGCCCCCTCCCCCCGCCATGCCCTCCGCCCTCTGCGCCCCGTCCAGCAGCAGCTACTTTGGGGCGATGGGCCAGCTGGCACGGGGGGAGGCCGTCCGCATCCTGGCCCGGCGCATCGCCACAGACGGCACAGTCCAGTACCTGGTGGAGTGGGACGGGCGAGGCATGTTCTAGGCTGCCTGCTGGCGGAGTGCGAGGCCCCTCCTGCAGCCACAAGGACCCCCCACCCCCGATTTCCACAGAAGGAAGGGTATCTGGGGACCCCAGGAGAGGAACCCTGGCCGGAGGACCCTGCCACCTGCGCTCCCCCCACCCCTCCTCACCATCCCGTGGAGCGAAGCCCGAGTTCGTTTATTTTTGTACTGTTTCTGAGTAAAGTTTTTAGGGACACCGCTGAGAGGGGCAGGGCGTGGCTCCCCTGGACGGAGGGGTCTGCCTGCCCCCCTCCCCCACTGTTGACTTCTTTCAAGATGCCGCTGCTCCTTCCCACGTTCCCCCTCCCGTTCACAGCCAGAGGCTGAATAAAGAGCTTCAGTGAGACTCGGCTGCCGCACTTTCTTCCAGGGTGGTGGGGCCACAGCCGGGCTGCCAAGGGGGGTCCGCCCAGCCCCCACCCCCGGTCCCACACAACCCCCAAGATGCGAGGAGCCCCCCCCCGGAGCCCGCAGGACAATTGCAGACAGAAGCCGGAGCCTGAAAGTGTCCCCCCCCGGGGGGGGGGGCTTTATTGTGGGCACAGGCTGGTCAAGGGCCCCCTCACTCGGGGGGCACGGCCTCTTCCACCCATCGCAGGTACGGGGGGTTTCCCTGCTGGATGGGCACAGAGATCACCTCGGCCACTTCGTAGGGATGCACCGACCTGCAAGCCAAAGGGGGGAGGGGAGATGTAGTCACCGAGTGTTTCCCCCCCATCACCCCCCCCCCCGGTATCTGCCCGAGGGGAGGGGAGCTTCCTCTGCCTTACCGGACGAACTCCGCCAGAGCCGAGACCCGGGAGCTGCGGGTTTTGATCATCTGTAGTGGGGGTGGGGGGGTAAGAGAACAACCATGATGGAATCTGTAGCCATGGCTCTGTGAAGCTGGAGCCCCCTCCCCAATTCCTCAGCCAAACTGCCCCTATGGGTGCCACACGCAAAGCCTAACACCCCTTGGGCTCACCCAGTTGGGGTTTCAAGCCCCCTTGGGTGGGTGAAGGGGGGGGCCCAATGGATTGGGGGAGGGGATTCAGGACACACATCCACTCGGTCACCTGGTGGGGGCACAGGAATGGGGATGCAGGGCTCCCACCTCCCCCCACCAGCAAGAGTGGGGTGAAGGCGGGCTTTCCTCCCTTGGGGGAGCCAGGAAAGGCATTGCCTTCTTTGCCGCCCCCCCCCCCCACCCCTCCTGTGCCCTTCACTCACCAGCAGCACCTCGGCGTCCTCCTCAATGGTGCCCTTCCACCGGTAGCTGCAAGAGACGGGGGAGGGGGAGCTGAGCCCGGGACACCACCACCCCCGGCCCTCTCACATGGAGGTGACGTGGGGCAGGACGTTCACACAGGCCGCCAGCTGCTTCTCCAACAGGGCCCTGCAGACACCAACCATCAGGACCAGCAGCCCCCCTCGACCCCTGGCAGCCCCCCTTGACCCAGGCAGCCCCCCCACCCCGCAGACCCAGCCCCCCTTCACCCTCAGGGACCCCCAAGGA